CTCTCTCTCTAAGCTCTAACTTCTTGGGTAAAAATTGATCCCATAATGAGATCTGTTATCAATGATTGCCAATATCTGTACGAGTCGTTCATTATAATAGATATTGTGTTTGAAAATGTGTTGCAAACGTACACAACAGTCACATGAAACAAATGCAATGGTTTGCCCATACGATACGTTTAAACACTATGTCTAATAAAAAGTCCACTATTTTTACATTAATGTACTCTTGTCCAGAGGACGAGCTCGTGCCACCGGTGCCGGTGAGTCCATGCCTTTATTTGAAAACAATGGCCATTAGTTGGCCAATATAATCAATTAGTTTGTGTATTTTATTTCCAACTAGTCCCTAATTTAAAGTATAGACCAAATGTTTGTGTAATTCTATTTGCATTCAAAGTCGATATAAGTGTTTGATTGAGTGATAAATCATGTCATGATATATATGAATAAACAACTCGCCTACTTCCATACACATATACTGCATACTACTTAAGAGTCATTCACTAATACTGTAAACACGTTTATTAGTATAACTTTGTAATGAATAGACAGACAAGTGTGGTTTTTTGAACAAATATGTCTTTAATTATTATTAAATACGAATATAACAATTAAAAAATATTTTCCCTCGAAAAAGTTAGTTCCCACACCTTTTATATCTTCCGGGAAATTCCCAATTTTTGGGAGGAAAGATATTGGGAAAACAAGAATATTCCCAAACGTGTCTAACGCTAGATACACTATACACAGTATATTGCAATAAATTGTTATCCAAATAAAGTTTGCTTCAAATTTCAATAACATTTAAAGCTTTACTTCTTTGAAAATAGGGATTATATATCACATGCATTGCAAACCATATACAAAACACAACACAGTTTAAAGTCAAATCTCGTTTTGCAATTGATCTCTCAAATACTTTTACAGTGAATTGCATTGCATTTGACGCCAATTTAATTAGTGTTTACGAGGGCACAGCTCGAAATTACGGCTCGTAATTAATTAGTCAAAATAATTGAATTAATTTTTTTGTCAAACTTAAAAAACACTAATAAGGTGTCAGTCTGCAGTATTTGCATGTTTGCATTTCATTGATGACTCAAATGTCATTCTACCTCTATATCGCCGTTTTAAATAGTAAAGGAGATTTACATACCATTAGTAAAACACCGTATATTTATCACGTGTTGAATATTGACCAACCAATCAAACAATATATTGCATATATTATGTACATTACATATGCGCAAACCTGATCCCAAACTGACCATCAGTTTAGTTACAAAACTTTATTAGTGATCGTGAGATCAGATCGCATACACAGAGAGATAGTCAGCCATATATCTGAATACAGTTATTATTAATCAATATAATTATTTTAACCATAATTAAACTCTCACTAGTATATAATGACTAACTATTATATACGATATAATGATGGCTATGACGCTATTTGGATCACTAAACCCGATACGTGTAGTGTTGAGACAGTGAAAGATCTCAAGTGTTTTCTACAGTCCAATGGTCTGTACAATGAAAACACACAAAATATTGCCATTTCCAGCACTTCCCCGAACCGCGATAGCACTTATTGGCATTATTATCAATTTAAATGTGATGATTACAAATTGAACGGTGGGGAGTGTTATATACTAATTCAACCAATACCTAATCCCCCAATTCTGTCGGCACAATTAACCAGGTATGTTTTTCATATTATAGTATTATATAATTTTATAATTAATGAAATGTTTATTTAAAACTATAGTTTGAGTGAAGAGTCGGACCAAAAGTGTCGTCAATTGTGTGAAAAAATATCGACTCTTAAGGCAAGCAATGAGTGCGAAGTAAATGCATTGAAAGCACAGCTCAAGACAGCCATCCATTCAATGGAGACAATGACTGAAGAGATCAATCATTTGAAACAAAGGTTTCATATTATCTCTCAATAAATGTTATATTTTGTTCAAAACTATTTTTATATAAAACATATGTCTTTCGCAGCGATCAACAAATGGTCACAGATTTGAGTCAAGTGTTGACACAAAACACCAGTGGTTTTAGTGAAGAGATGTCGGCTCTGAAGGCAAGCAATGAGTCCGAAGTGAAGGCATTGAAAGCACAGCTCAAGACATCCAACGACTCAATGGATACTCAGATCAAAGTTTTGAGACAAAAGTTTAGGTTTGATATTAAATACATTTAATTGATAAACAAATGTTTGATTTTTGTTAAACTTTTTTACAAAAAAAAACTTTTCAGCAATAAAGAAGTGAAAGACTGGATTCAATTGATTAGTTCAGCGCTACTTATCATATGCTTATTATCGGGTGTTTGTATTGTGTCCGCAAAAGTCAGTGCTTTGAGTGAAGAGTTGTCGACTTTGAAGCAAAGATTGTCGTCAAACACGAGGTTTGTTATAATTGTTACTTAAAGTTATGTTTTATAAAAGTTTTAAAACTTTATTTTAAACTACAATTTATTTATTGTTTTAGTGATCCAAAAATGGTCGCACAGTTTAGTGAATTGTGGGCCAATAAAAGTTGTTTAACTGAAGAGTTGTTGGCTTTAAACACGAGCAATGGATACCAAGTGATAGCTTCACAGCTCAAGTCAGCCATGGATTCAATTCAGACAATGGAGAAAGAGATCAATGAATTGAGAGAAATGTTTTTGATCTCTGATAACAGGTTTGATATAAACACTAAACAAATATATTTTATTTTAAATTTTAAATTAATGTTTAAATACATTTTTAAACATAAAATAAATATTTTTATTTTTAGTTATCAAACAGTGGCCACAGATTTACGAATAATTACTATAAAGTTAGTTATTATATGTTTGTTATGCGCTGTTTATATTTTGTGGCCAAAAATCAGTGGTTTAAGTGATTGGTTGTCAGTATTGAAGCCATCGAACCACACAATTAACTCCGATGTCACACAATTGGCTCAACAAATCAATGCACAGAATTTAAGGTCTAATTGTAATCTTTCATAAAATATACAATATATTTAAATTTTACATTTAAATAGGAATTCAATGAGTGATTCGTCCTCCAGTTCTTCATCGATCGGATCCCACAATGAAATGACCACTAATTCAGACGAAACCAGAGATGAGATCAATATTCGGGATATGTTTAAGAAAATTGAGAATCAAATCAAATCTCTATCCCATATGACATACACTCTATTGAAGGCTTTGGTTATAGAGAGTGACTTATCGGTGACAACACTCGATGTCAGACAATCGGCCGAAGACTCGGATGACAGCGAATCCATAGTTGTTGTCGACTCACATCACGAATAAGACATTTTGTATTATCTTATAAATTGTCAAAAACTATTATTTTATTCATTATTTCATTTGTTATTTTTATAACATATCGTAACTTAAGTCGAGTTTTTAATTATTACGATTATTATTCTAAATATAAATACCATTATTATTGTCGCTTAAATAGTTTTTCACTGACTTTTAATACTATAATTACTAATATTTCGGATGACAGCGAATCCATTGTCAGTGTTTGCACCAAATAAGACAATTTAAATTTTTGTATTGTATTTCTAATTGTCTTAAATCTATCATTTCATCCATTATTTTATTTGATTTTCTTATAACATGTCTTAACATAAATGGAGATTTTAATTATTATTGTGTTAATTATAAATACAATTAGAATTTTGATATTAATATACATTTTATATAACTTATTCTATGTCTTAAATTTATCATTTTATTCATTATATTATTTGTATTCTTATCAAATAAGATGTGAACTTAATTATTACTATATTATTAGTTATAAATACAATAAGAATATTCACTAATTTAGACATTTACTGTTTTTTAGACCAACTTTTCATTGAATTACTAATATTTTTAATAACGTAATTAATAATATTGTTGTTTCCATTATAAAATATGTTTGTATTTTCAGTGTAATTATTATAATTTTTGTTTAAACATTTAATAAATGGAAAATTAAAAGAAATCGTAATATTAAACTAAATAATTATTAAAAATTAACAAAACTATAGCATTATTTATAAACTCATTAAAAATATAAAAATGTAAAACAATTAAACAGAAGCTAGAAATGCGGTACGGATTGTGTGATCACATCCCTGTCCGCAGACTTTGTGTTGGCTTTTGATTAAGAAATAAATGGCGACCGAAGCCGAGGGCACGGGTGGTGTCGGAGTCGATGACTATTGTGTTGACCGGTTGTGTCAAACAATTTACCACAGTTTCCGCACTCGTATTGTTGTGATTATTTTTACCATAATTTTATTATGGGTTTCTCTAATATGTTTGTTATCTAAATATTGATTTAATTCATGTGATTAACAGTGATTTCACAAAATGTTTGAATCAAATGCACTGTATTTTCTAAATAGCGTTCAATACATGAAACTGTGGCCTATTTTAGGACACTTTTATAATGTTCTCTTAATTTAGATTTTCGGTGAAAACATTTATTACAATCACTGAAATTACAAACAAATGGTTTTTCGCCATAATGTATGAGTTTATGTTGCGTGAGTGAGAATTTGTATACAATTTTCTTAATCAAATTTGATTTTTTATTTATTTAAATGAACAAAACTTTTGTAAAGAAATAAATATTGTTTTGTAGAAAAAACAACTAAGAAAATGTTAAAGTAATTTACATTTATAAAAAAGCAAATTAAATATCAATTATATTTGAAACTGATTTCATTCAAAGGATCACAACTTTGTGTAAAAATAAATCTGATTTCAAACAAAACTTTTGGCAAATATTGTATTCAAACGTTAATAATTAGTTTCTGGGAATGAAAGGGAAGGTTAGGAACAATGGATGGAGTATTGTATTGTATTGCATCCCATGGCCTCACCATTCATACCAATGTTAAACGTATGGACAATAAACCCATTCATACGTGGGTTACAAATATGTGTCGTATAAACCAATGGCAAGCAATGAATAGGGATTATAAAAGTGTCCTAAAATAGGCCACAGTTTCAGGGATTGAATGCTATTTTGAATATACAGTGCATTTGATTCAAACATTCAGTGGTTTAAAGTTTAGAAAAATAATTCGTGAAAAAAAAACTAACAAAAATATATTTCCTCAAAATGTGATTTCAATTCCTGTTTCGTAACAAACCGTTGATTACAGTTATTATGGATAT